AGGAGAATATTTCCAGTTGCGGCAGAATCCAAAACCTGGGCCTCATCAACACAATCTCACAGTGAATCGATCCTAGAAGGAAAAGTGAGAAATATCTTCACTCGGAGACTGGTGAGAAGGTGAAACTCAGGACCAGAGAGATCGGGGGAGAACAACAACTCTGGTGCTTGAGGAAGGCAACCAGACAACAATATGAGAGAGAAAAGGATGAAAAGTGATGCTGGAAGGATGGAGTGAGGCAGTTGGGATGGAAGGAGACCTGTGTGGATCATAAACACACCAGCACTGAGGGCAGATACGCTTTTCAGCCATAGACCATTGGAATCCTCAATGAAAGATTCCTCCAATACCGACCCCACTCCCTCCCTGTGACTGTGGTCTGAAATGTGGAACAGCTGTTTGGAAGTGGCCCACTGAGAAGAACAGCAGCTGGTCACTGCTCTCCAACATTGCCAGTCACAAACTACATTGCATCCTTTCATCACACACAGTCACCAGGATTCGCCCAATTGATATTCTTGTCACCCAGCATTGAGTCTTACTTGTTGCTACAGAAACACACTTTGCACACAAAGATTTCCAACAAAGTTGTGGTTTTTCAGACTCACTGAAGGGGCAACAGACTATTTCTCAGGGCGGGATAACCCACCACACACCCCCCCACCTCCCCCACCAACCCCCACACGGTCATCTGTGGAATGTTCTTTAACTCACTCCATCAGTAACAGGATGGGAGGAGGGAGATGTCTGTGGTTCCTGCTCTCTCTCAGGAATGTGGCGATCTTCACTCTGCTGTGACGCCAGCCCCATGTGACCCCAACTAAATCCCCTTACTCATCAGGAGCAAAGAGGTTAAAATCACCACTCTGATTAATACAGATCTCTGACAGATTACCAGAGGTAAAAGTACTAGACCTACATGGCCACAGAACCTACGACTAATAATAAAAGACTCGCATTTCTCTGCACCCCTCATAATCTCAGGGTGGCCCAATGGTTTCCTGATAATTTCGAAGGACAGTCACTGTCAAAATGTTCTAAGTGGAGCAGTCAATTTATGCACAGCAATTTTCTAGAACTACATAATGTGTCAGTAACTAGATAATGTTCCTGTGATATTGTTAGGGGCTAACTATTAGCCCAGACATTTGAGAAGAATGACACTGCCCAATCTCAAAACAATGTGATGGGATCATTTTTATTCGCTTGAGAGAGTTGACAGGCTCCAGTTTAACATTGCAAATCAGGCTGAATGCAGCACCGAGTCGTTTACAAATAACATCTAGAGTTTCCAACATGTGCTGCAGGCAAAAGAAAATAAGCAAGCGTGAGATAAAACACTTTCTAAAATGAAACAAGGAAATGAAAAAATGAAAGCCTCTAGCATATTCAGAAAACTGATACCCTCCTGAGGGTGGTATTGTGGCACAGTGGCTCAGTGGTTAGCACTGCTGCCTCACAGTGCGAGGGACCTGGGTTCAATTCCACCCTCAGGTGACTGTCTTGTGGGGTTTGCACATTCTCCCCATGTCAGCGTGGGTTTCCTCTGGATGCTCTGGTTTCCTCCCCCAGTCCAAAGTTTGGCAGGTTAGGGTGGATTGGCTGTGCTAAATTACCACTTTGTGTCCAGGGATGTGAGGGCTAGGTGGATTAGCCAAGGGAAATGCAGGATTACAGGGATAGGGTAGGGTTGTGGGCCTGGGTGGCTGTTGTTTGGAGAGTCAATGTGAACTTGAAGGGCTGAATGGCCTACATTCACACTGTAGGGATTCTATGATTCTCTGAAACAAAGGGCTCTGCCTCATTTGTTGATGGCTACACTCCCTGACAAGGTGATGTGTGTCTGCATGTTATTTTAAAGAAGACAGGTGGTGTTTCCTCTCTTTAATATGTGGCACCAATGCTGTGAAGAATGATTTAGTTCTTGCAAGTTATTTATTTTCCTTTTTTTGAACTCTTTTCCCCAAAGGACTCAATTAAGACTATTTTTCTTCTTGTCCACAAAACAAAAATAAAGATTCATGATTTTGGACCAATATGAAATGTCTACAGTGACAGAATGGTAAAAGAACATAGCAAATAATAGACAGATGGAGTATTAATGTTCAAAGATGTCCTATTTTCCAGCTCACCATGTTCTCAAAGGCCAGAGAAATGCTGGCTTTGCAATACACCAGGCTACAAGCATTGACAAATAAAATGATTAAACAAGTTACAAAAACCTGATCGTTAATCTAATATTCTAGCCAGAGAGAGAATTCTCACTGTCCCACTTACGAAACTAGAAATAATTAGCTATAATATTTTCAACTTGGGGAATATTTAGAGTGCATTGCAGTAGTGAATTGTGCAGGACACCTGAAACTGCATTTATTGAAATGCTTCCATTACTATAGCACCTCTCACTAAAGGGCATCCCAATGCACTCGGAAAGTGCAGTATTTTTGACGTGTTCACTGTCGTAAGGTGGAAAATGCAGCTGCCGTGCACAGCCAGATCCCATAAGCAGCAATGTGATGATGGCTGGATGAATCTGCTGTCACAATATGAAATGGATGAATAAGTACTGGCAGGGACACCAGCAACCTTCACCCTGGTCTGATGGAGAGACAACTGTTGCCAGCCCATTCACCACGGACCACCTCACGTAAGGCACAATGTGAACTAAATTGGGACACATTAGTAGAAAGATGGGTCTCTTGAACTTTAGTCGCTGACTCTGACATTGCATCAAACGTGAACCTTCACCCAGCACTACCTGGTTCTCCAGTGGCAGGAGAAAATGGCTTCCCAATTACAAAGTAACCACTTCACAGAAGAAAAGAAGCACATCTTGGGGAAATGTGGGTGTCATTCAATGGGGAGGTCAAAAAGGATCCAAGGAACCATTTCAGGCTGAGTTAAGATGGTGTGGTACACAGCTCCATTCTCCCTCCACCAAGCCCCTACATCATAAATCCCTATGACATTGTCCCCATGGCCACTTTTGGAGGACAAAGTAGCATTGAAGAATTTCTTGATAATTTATTTTTTAAAAAAACACCTCTTTCTGAGAAGTTTTATGATTAATTCCTGGGACAACGGTGGTGGGGGTGTTGGGGGGTGGGGAGGAGACTGGGGCTTGAGGAGAGATTGGGTAAAATGGGACAATGTAATGCAGATTTCAGAAGAATGAAAAGATATTGGAAGCCAGCATAGGTCAGTGAGCAGAGTGAATGATAGGTGACCAGCACATTGATGCAGATCAAGATAAGGACAACAGAATTTTGGATGAACTGAAGATTTTATGGGTAGTAATGGGGAGGCAGGCTGAGAGAGCATTGGACTTGTCAAGTCTGAAAATAACAAAGGTAGAGTCACTGTAAGAACTCCTGTAATAGCATGGAAATATTCTTGCATCTTTAGATGGTCGGGTCCTTACACTCGTTCATAGATCGGTGTATATCAAAAATGACACTCTCCTCATTTTAATCAAACAGGAACTGAGGCAGTGACCATTTATAACAACACTTTTCACAGACTGAAGGCTCAAATTACTTTGCTGTGAAATATTAATTCAAATCTGCAAACTCCCCTTTAACAATTGATAGATTGTAGGTTGTGCAGATCATTGGCCACTTTTCAAAATTACTTTCAAAAATTGTATGTATGAAAATGAAAGTCAACAAATGTGAAATATTAACAATTTAGAGCTTGGAAGCTTTGAATTTGTGTGATTGCTACAGGAAATGTTCTAAAATAATTGAATAGAATCAATTCTAGAGATGAAGAAGGATAAAAGCAGTGAAATATTTGACTCTAGCATGGAAGGTTGATGCAAACTTTGCAAAATCTTACAAAGTTTTATTTCCACTTTAACAAAAATACAATGCTGCAGATTTTGCATTTTTTCATATGGTCTCTCACTAGAACACTTTGATGTCTGACAACTATAAAGAAATCTTGAAATGTTGGTATTTATTAGCCGTTCCTAATTGCCCATGGAGAAGATGAAGGTGTGCCACCATCTTGAACTGCAGTCCTTGGGCTATAGAAACCACTCACAGTATCATAAGGGAGAGAATTCCAGGATATTCTGACCCAGGGACAGTGAGAAACCCACTGAGAAAGATATGTGTTAGAGAGGAGAACCAGGATATGATGCTGTTCGCAAGACATAGTGTAAGCGAGGCAGGTAGAGGGATCCTGCAGTCAGGAACAGAGGACCCTCAGCTCTTGACCTTGTCCAACAGGTACGAGGTACTTGCTCCCTGTGTAGAGAAGAAAAAGGGCTGCAGGGAGGATGTGCCAACTGACCACTGCACTGTGATATGGGAGGCCATTCAAGATGGGG